TTATATATTTTTTACAATCTTGGTATAATTAATGCTCTAAATGGGTTGCTCTGTCTGCTGAAAGCATTTTAACAGTCTCTATTAATTTTAAATATATATATATATATGTATTATATATATATATATATATATATATATATATATATATATATATATATATATATATAAAGATTCTGTTATTTGGGGCTCTCTTACTGATGATGAGAGCCCGGTAGGGCTGCTGTATGTAACCGGAGCCATTTCTCTGGTCTGAGTAACATTACATTTTGTTACACTTGCCATCATGTTTTATAGTCATTTTATATATATATATATATATACATTGGGAAGTGTTAGTGAAAGTGTGTGTCTCAGTGATCTCATCCAGGCAGAATCTGGCAGAGATAGTCTAGATAGTGTTTCAAACTCTGTTCTTTCCTTAAAATTGTAAACACACAGCTTTTCTTTTACAAAGTACAGCAGCTAATGTCAGTTTCCTCTGCCTCACACTGATGACTGACTATATTCAACTGGCACTGATAGAAGGCAGAGCAGAAGAGTTGATATGTGGAGGGAAAATTTATATGTTTAAAGCACAAATTATGTAATGGATAATCAGAGTTGATGAGCACATGAATGATTGCTGTGTCCTTTGCAGGTGAAGGTAGAAAATGCCAGTAAGTCTGATGTGGATCTGAATTCAGCAGCATGGATCCGTGTGAGCATAGAGAAGAGGAAGTCTCTCGCTCTAAAACCACCCTGTGTGGAGAACATGACAAACTGAGCACAGCTCAGAGGTGAGATCAGCAGCTGTAGCTGTCCATAGCTCTTTTCACACACCGTTCACTATATATGGCCAAAGAAGCAGTGATGAAGCTGCTGCTGTTCCTCCTTTGGTGCTTCATCCAGGCTGAACAGAGGCACCTGAGTGTGGTATCAGTGGGTTCTCACAAACAGGAAGTCACTGCTGCAGAAGCAACTTAATGAAACTAGCCTGTTGCTTAGAGCATCTCGGTTCCAACAGGATCCACCTGGACAAACTCACCATTTTACATTTTCTAAATCTTGATGACTAAGATCAGAACTATTCTTTCTTGAAAGAAGAACAGATTGACCCTTACAGAAGAATCTTTACATTAATGGCTGGTCACTGTAAGTTGATACAGACTCTACGGAAGGGCTTCCACATTTAAAACTCAAAAAGTTGTCTGAAGGTTGACAAGCAGGTACTTTTAAGGCTGCTGGCAAGTGACTCAAAAGGAACCAGATAATCCAAGGACACAGAGGCACCGCAGGACAGTCCAAGGAAAACACAGAAGTGCAGAGTGACTGGGCTGCTGAGAGTGCAGAGACATGAATAAATCTTGAGTATAGGAGAGCTACAGTTGTCCCCACTTGGAATTGCAATAACCATCTGGCACTGGTCCTATGGCACCAGCCTCCGATATAGAATAGAAGAACAGAAAATCCCTTTATTGTCTCACAAGGGGAAATATCTGGTGTTTACAGCAGCAACAATATTATAGAAAAACTGGTCACACAAATGTGAACCTTAGGAAAATGTATAAGAATAACATACTAGTGAAGAGTTAAAAGATAAACAATAAAATACTGTTCTGTAAAGTGTTTTAACAATATAAAACTGTGCAACAGGAGAATCAATAACCAATATACAGCTATGTGTCATGATCGGTTTAAGGAATCTGACCCACATGCAGAGTAACCACTCAGAGAACCAGGGGAAAAGTTCAACAAGTTTATTGGTGGTAAATGAGAACTGCCGTCTAGTCTGGAGCTCAGTGAACTGGTGAACCGGAACTGGTAGTGAGGAGGGGAGATCACAGAGATCAGTTCAGGGACCGTGGAAATCTTGGATGTTGTTAAGTTTATGCAGGAGAGGGAATCACGTTTGAGGGGGCTCTTATCAATCCTTGAATCAAGTCTGTGTGGGATTATCCAGAGAATAGGGAACACGTTGGAGAGTGGACAGGTAGACAAACGTTCGACCCGGAGGAGTAATGGAGCGGACTGTCACATTTCCGATGGGAACTTGAACGGGTCATGTGGAGGTTTTCCCCAGCTCAGTGTGAACTCAGGCTTTCCTTCCAGGGGGAGAAGGTCCAGGTATCCAGTTAAACAGGAAGGCTTCCTGCCGAAGAACAAAGATAAAAAAAAACATAAGTCTCAGAGAAGCAAAGCTCAGGTTAGACTCTGTTAATCTCAGCTTGGCTAGAGTACCCAAAACCAGCAAACACTCTGGCATCGAGGTAGTGACAGTCCACTGCTCAAATACTCCTCCAGATAATGGTCCAATGAGCTGCAGGTGTGCAAGGAGGCCCACCGAAGACAGGGCACCTCCTGGTGGGGGAGAGAAGGAAACACACAAACAGACCACACAAACTGGATTCCAAACACTATGGACATTTTTACAGTAATGGATATTTGAAAATAGTAGCAACATCAGAGATGTGCAAAATGACAGCAGGATATTATTTAACTGACTAAGATAGAAACTGTGCAAAATCCACATGAATGTAACAACTTATTGAGATTGTTGGGAAGAATGGTGGTTATAGAGTCTTACAGCTGCTGGAAGCAAGGATCTGTGATAATGCTCCCTGGTGCCTTAAGGGTGCAGCAGTCTGTCACAGTCTGCCCCAGCTGCAGAGTACATAGGGAGTGAGGACCAGCTGTAGAGTAATCATATTCCTATTGCACCCGGTAGATACCACTGCAATGTACTGTGGAATTATTTCTACTTTATATGAGATTTTTTGTTTAACAATTTGGGGGGAAAAAATATACATTGCAAAAATCATAAACTTAAATACAAATTTCAATGGCTGAGCGTCAAAAATCCAAGCATAAATCCATGACAATGTTCAATTTTAAATCTGAGTTTTTCTATCAGGTTTGATCTCAAAGATGAACCAGAATCAGAGGCAGAG